TATAGTTTAGTGTATAGTTTAGTGTATAGTTTAGTGTAGTTTAGTGTATAGTTTAGTGTATAGTTTAGTGTATAGTTTAGTGTATAGTTTAGTGTATAGTTTAGTGTATAGTTTAGTGTATAGTTTAGTCTATTCTAGTATAGTCTAGTCTATAGTCTAGTCTATAGTCTAGTCTATAGTCTAGTCTATAGTCTAGTCTATAGTCTAGTCTATAGTCTAGTCTATAGTCTAGTCTATAGTCTAGTCTATAGTCTAGTCTATAGTCTAGTCTATAGTCTAGTCTATAGTCTAGTCTATAGTCTAGTCTATAGTCTAGTCTATAGTCTAGTCTATAGTCTAGTCTATAGTCTAGTCTATAGTCTAGTCTATAGTCTAGTCTATAGTCTAGTCTATAGTCTAGTCTATAGTCTAGTCTATAGTCTAGTCTATAGTCTAGTCTATAGTCTAGTCTATAGTCTAGTCTATAGTCTAGTCTATAGTCTAGTCTATAGTCTAGTCTATAGTCTAGTCTATAGTCTAGTCTATAGTCTAGTCTATAGTCTAGTCTATAGTCTAGTCTATAGTCTAGTCTATAGTCTAGTCTATAGTCTAGTCTATAGTCTAGTCTATAGTCTAGTCTATAGTCTAGTCTATAGTCTAGTCTATAGTCTAGTCTATAGTCTAGTCTATAGTCTAGTCTATAGTCTAGTCTATAGTCTAGTCTATAGTCTAGTCTATAGTCTAGTCTATAGTCTAGTCTATAGTCTAGTCTATTAGTCTATAGTCTAGTCTATAGTCTAGTCTATAGTCTAGTCTATAGTCTAGTCTATAGTCTAGTCTATAGTCTAGTCTATAGTCTAGTCTATAGTCTAGTCTATAGTCTAGTCTATAGTCTAGTCTATAGTCTAGTCTATAGTCTAGTCTATAGTCTAGTCTATAGTCTAGTCTATAGTCTAGTCTATAGTCTAGTCTATAGTCTAGTCATAGTCTAGTCTATAGTCTAGTCTCTAGTCTAGTCTATAGTCTAGTCTATAGTCTAGTCTATAGTCTAGTCTATAGTCTAGTCTATAGTCTATAGTCTAGTCTATAGTCTAGTCTATAGTCTAGTCTATAGTCTAGTCTATAGTCTAGTCTATAGTCTAGTCTATAGTCTAGTCTATAGTCTATAGTCTAGTCTATAGTCTAGTCTATAGTCTAGTCTATAGTCTAGTCTATAGTCTAGTCTATAGTCTAGTCTATAGTCTAGTCTATAGTCTAGTCTATAGTCTAGTCTATAGTCTAGTCTATAGTCTAGTCTATAGTCTAGTCTATAGTCTAGTCTATAGTCTAGTCTATAGTCTAGTCTATAGTCTAGTCTATAGTCTAGTCTATAGTCTAGTCTATAGTCTAGTCTATAGTCTAGTCTATAGTCTAGTCTATAGTCTAGTCTATAGTCTAGTCTATAGTCTAGTCTATAGTCTAGTCTATAGTCTAGTCTATAGTCTATAGTCTAGTCTATAGTCTAGTCTATAGTCTAGTCTATAGTCTAGTCTATAGTCTAGTCTATAGTCTAGTCTATAGTCTAGTCTATAGTCTAGTCTATAGTCTAGTCTATAGTCTAGTCTATAGTCTAGTATAGTCTAGTCTATAGTCTAGTCTATAGTCTAGTCTATAGTCTAGTCTATAGTCTAGTCTATAGTCTAGTCTATAGTCTAGTCTATAGTCTAGTCTATAGTCTAGTCTATAGTCTAGTCTATAGTCTAGTCTATAGTCTAGTCTATAGTCTAGTCTATAGTCTAGTCTATAGTCTAGTCTATAGTCTAGTCTATAGTCTAGTCTATAGTCTATGTCTAGTCTATAGTCTAGTCTATAGTCTAGTCTATAGTCTAGTCTATAGTCTAGTCTATAGTCTAGTCTATAGTCTAGTCTATAGTCAGTCTATAGTCTAGTCTATAGTCTAGTCTATAGTCTAGTCTATAGTCTAGTCTATAGTCTAGTCTATAGTCTAGTCTATAGTCTAGTCTATAGTTAGTCTATAGTCTAGTCTATAGTCTAGTCTATAGTCTAGTCTATAGTCTAGTCTATAGTCTAGTCTATAGTCTAGTCTATAGTCTAGTCTATAGTCTAGTCTATAGTCTAGTCTATAGTCTAGTCTATAGTCTAGTCTATAGTCTAGTCTATAGTCTAGTCTATAGTCTAGTCTATAGTCTTAGTCTATAGTTAGTCTATAGTCTAGTCTATCTAGTCTATAGTCTAGTCTATAGTTTAGTCTATAGTCTAGTCTATAGTCTAGTCTATAGTCTAGTCTATAGTCTAGTCTATAGTCTAGTCTAAAGTCTAGTCTATAGTCTAGTCTATAGTCAAGTCTATAGTCTAGTCTATTGTCCAGTCTATTGTCTAGTCTATAGTCTAGTCTATAGTCTAGTCTATAGTATAGTCTATAGTCTAGTCTATAGTCTAGTCTATAGTCTAGTCTATAGTCTAGTCTATAGTCTAGTCTATAGTCTAGTCTATAGTCTAGTCTATAGTCTAGTCTATAGTCTAGTCTATAGTTTAGTCTATAGTCTAGTCTATAGTCTAGTCAATAGTCTATAGTCTAGTCTATAGTCTAGTCTATAGTCTAGTCTATAGTCTAGTCTATAGTCTAGTCTATAGTCTAGTCTATAGTCTAGTCCAGCGGTTCCCACCGATTTTTACTTCGCGGACCCCTTGAAGAACTTATTTAATTTCGCGGACCCCAATACATATTTTGATATCTTATTGTTCTAAATAATTGTCCATCCGAAAATTGACCTAGTCCATTAATCCCTAGGTCTAATAAATGTAGAGATGTCATATCTATAAAATATTCCCGTACATTGAGAATATATAATATTTCAGATAGGTTTTCAATTGCATGTTTTGAAGATAGAATGACTTCTTTGTTGATATGTTAACATGATGTTTAAAATTATGATCGTGAGATCTTTCATGTTCATTTTTCTTCAAGGTAGCGAAAAGGTTTCTTTATCAAATATTGTCACATGTGCTTAAGGAGTCACGTTTCAAAAATTTGTTGCGATTGCAAAGGGTGAACTGAGTAAGTGAGCTAAGTTTTCGGGAAAATAATATAAGAAAGTTGGACTTCTTCTATGTTGTTGCGGAATGCATTATCCGCATAATATATGATTTGAACTCTTTGTTAAAGTACTGTGAATTTGGAACTTAAATTTGAATTTTAAAATACCAACGAATTATTTTACTTCATGGTTTTTGGCTACATATTTACGTGAAACGCTATGGATTTTCTGATGTTAATTTAATAATATGTATTGGTCGACAAAATCAGATTAAAATCTGTGTATCACGTCGGATTGGAATATTTATAAAGAGATGCATAAAGAGCCACCTCTGTTTTGGAAATATATAATTTTAGTCCTTTCAAACGAGAACACTTTTGCTTACAATTTGATAAACTTAAATCTGTAATAAGCTTGTCTTTGAATTGAACTTCATACTCCGGAATACCAGTATCCCTAATTTAATTGTAAGGCAGAGTATTTTTTGAAATAAAAAACATTATTTCAGTACATATACAGGAAATAAAAATTACAAATCACGCAATACTTTACTTTATAAAAGTTATACAATAAATTTGTAGGGCCTAGCTTCTTCCTGATAAACAACCGAAAAAATAAAATTCAAAAAGCCACCAAAAAATTTGGGATTATTGCACAAAAATTGGAGATATTTGTACATACCCAGGAAAAACTTACATTGAAAAGTAATGAGTTAAATAGCTAATAAAACCTCTTTTCACTACTTCTTCATTAGCATTTTAAGTCATTATTTTAACACGGTGATGTCATTGGAGGCAAGTACTTCTACGCACGCTTACAAATAGGGACTTAAAGAAGTACTTGCAATTTCCCTTACAAAACAGTTGTTGAGTAAGTCGTTTTGTTTTTTAATAATAAAAAGAGCCAGCTAGAATACGAACCAGGGGCTTCGGTTTGTTAGTCAAATGTTCTACACACTGCACCACTGCTTAGCTATTTTATTGCGCGTCAAATAATGGTTTTCACAAACAAAACTAATTTTGTTTTATTTTTTTAAAACACAATTCTTAAAACGCAATTAAATAAAATGTGCAAACAAAATGACAAAGCCGAAAATAAAGTACTTCTATATCAGATTATAAGAAAGTCATTACTAGAGTACTTCTATGTACTGCAGACGGTAAGTAGTAGTCATTGAAAAGTAAGTGGTTATGGAAGTACCACCCATTACCGAGTTTTTGCTGGGTATGTACATATAAAAGCAGAATATTGTTTATTCATGGTTTTTTTCGTTCGTCTTTGCGGACCCCCTAGGATTTTACTACGGACCACTAGGGGTCCGCGGACCCCCATTTGGGAACCGTTGGTCTAGTCTATAGTCTAGTCTATAGTCTAGTCTATAGTCTAGTCTATAGTCTAGTCTATAGTTTAGTCTATAGTTTAGTCTATAGTTTAGTCTATAGTCTAGTCTATAGTCTAGTCTATAGTCTAGTCTATAGTCTAGTCTATAGTCTAGTCTATAGTCTAGTCTATAGTCTAGTCTATAGTCTAGTCTATAGTCTAGTCTATAGTCTAGTCTATAGTCTAGTCTATAGTCTAGTCTATAGTCTAGTCTATAGTCTAGTATATAGTCTAGTCTATAGTCGAGTATATTGTCTAGTCTATAGCCAAGTTTACAGTCCACAGTTAAGTCTATAGTAGAGTCTATAGTCAAGTCTATAGTCTAGTCTATAGTCTAGTCTATAGTCGAGTCTATAGTCTGGTCTATAGTCAAGTCTATAGCCTAGTCTATAGTCGAGTCTATATTCTAGTCTATTGTCAAGTTTATAGTCGAGTCAATAGATTCGACTATTGTCTTGTGTATTGTCTAGTTTATTGTCAAGTTTACAGTCCACAGTCAAGTCTATAGTCGAGTCTGCAGTTGTTTTTTCAATCAGTAACTTTTCCCTAATTTTAATAAATTACAATAAGTTTTTAAATAAGTTTTCTTTCATCTACTTTCAGTAATTGTTAAAATTTAAAACGTCAAACTGGCTTCTCCCAATAATACAGCACCGCCCGTGCTTTGGCGCGCGCGTCGTAAAGTGGGTAAGTACTTAAAACATAAGAATAGCTTTTTATAAGTTATTTTAAGTAAATTTTCCAACAAAACAATTTTAATAACTATTTAATGATTACAAGTTTTAATGGCTGCCAGGGGAGCCAAACAAATAGAAAAAGTTCAATGACCTTTAAAACTGTTTAGTGTTTACTTTTTTTCCTCTTTTTTTAAACGTTTTATAAAAAAATATAAAAAATTGTATTGACACTTTGTATGACCCTCTGTAGTAATGGGAAAAAGTTAATAAACTGTTAACTTTTTAAAAATTTTCCGTTTTTTTTTTTTTTGTTTTCTTACATACTATTAACTTTCGGATAATGAAAATCTTCCTATAAAATTTTATTTGTGAAAAAATAAAACAAACAGCTAATTTTTGTATTTTACATACAGATATCAAGTAAATGTTGTTGTGTTTTCTTGTTTTTCTGAATTTTAAGAAAGGTTATTGGCCTTATGTTTTATTGTTAAGTGATATTTAATTACTATTTATAAAAATTTTAATAGAAATTTTGAGTAATAATAAATAATTTGACAAAAAAAAAAAAAAAAAACTTCCCATACTAGTCTTTGGACCTCCCTTTGGGCTGGAAAATACTACACTATAGACTAAAGACTGGACTATAGACTAAGATTATACACTAGATTATAGAATATATTATACACTAGACTTGACTATAGATTAGACTAGACTATAGACTAGACCATAGACTAGACTATAGACTAGACTATAGACTAGACTATAGACTAGACTATAGACTAGACTAAAGACTAGACTATAGACTAGACTATAGACTAGACTATAGGCTAGACTATAGACTAGACTATAGACTAGACTATAGGCTAGACTATAGACTTGACTATAGACTAGACTATAGGCTAGACTATAGACTAGACTATAGACTTGACTATAGGCTAGACTATAGACTAGACTATAGACTAGACTATAGACTAGACTATAGACTAGACTATAGACTAGACTATAGACTAGACTATAGACTAGACTATAGACTAGACTATAGACTAGACTATAGACTAGACTATAGACTAGACTATAGACTAGACTATAGACTAGACTATAGACTAGACTATAGACTAGACTATAGACTACTAGACATAGACTAGACTATAGACTAGACTATAGACTAGACTATAGACTAGACTATAGACTAGACTATAGACTAGACTATAGACTAGACTATAGGACTAGACTATAGACTAGACTATAGACTAGACTATAGACTAGACTATAGACTAGACTATAGACTAGACTATAGACTAGACTATAGACTAGACTATAGACTAGACTATAGACTAGACTATAGACTAGACTATAGACTAGACTATAGACTAGACTATAGACTAGACTATAGACTAGACTATAGACTAGACTATAGACTAGACTATAGACTAGACTATAGACTAGACTATAGACTAGACTATAGACTAGACTATAGACTAGACTATAGACTAGACTATAGACTAGACTATAGACTAGACTATAGACTAGACTATAGACTAGACTATAGACTAGACTATAGACTAGACTATAGACTAGACTATAGACTAGACTATAGACTAGACTATAGACTAGACTATAGACTAGACTATAGACTAGACTATAGACTAGACTATAGACTAGACTATAGACTAGACTATAGACTAGACTATAGACTAGACTATAGACTAGACTATAGACTAGACTATAGACTAGACTATAGACTAGACTATAGACTAGACTATAGACTAGACTATAGACTAGACTATAGACTAGACTATAGACTAGACTATAGACTAGACTATAGACTAGACTATAGACTAGACTATAGACTAGACTATAGACTAGACTATAGACTAGACTATAGACTAGACTATAGACTAGACTATAGACTAGACTATAGACTAGACTATAGACTAGACTATAGACTAGACTATAGACTAGACTATAGACTAGACTATAGACTAGACTATAGACTAGACTATAGACTAGACTATAGACTAGACTATAGACTAGACTATAGACTAGACTATAGACTAGACTATAGACTAGACTATAGACTAGACTATAGACTAGACTATAGACTAGACTATAGACTACTATAGACTAGACTATAGACTAGACTATAGACTAGACTATAGACTAGACTATAGACTAGACTATAGACTAGACTATAGACTAGACTATAGACTAGACTATAGACTAGACTATAGACTATACTATAGACTAGACTATAGACTAGACTATAGACTAGACTATAGACTAGACTATAGACTAGACTATAGACTAGACTATAGACTAGACTATAGACTAGACTATAGACTAGACTATAGACTAGACTATAGACTAGACTATAGACTAGACTATAGACTAGACTATAGACTAGACTATAGACTAGACTATAGACTAGACTATAGACTAGACTATAGACTAGACTATAGACTAGACTATAGACTAGACTATAGACTAGACTATAGACTAGACTATAGACTAGACTATAGACTAGACTATAGACTAGACTATAGACTAGACTAGACTAGATATAGACTAGACTATAGACTAGACTATAGACTAGACTATAGACTAGACTATAGACTAGACTATAGACTAGACTATAGACTAGACTATAGACTAGACTATAGACTAGACTATAGACTAGACTATAGACTAGACTATAGACTAGACTATAGACTAGACTATAGACTAGACTATAGACTAGACTATAGACTAGACTATAGACTAGACTATAGACTAGACTATAGACTAGACTATAGACTAGACTATAGACTAGACTATAGACTAGACTATAGACTAGACTATAGACTAGACTATAGACTAGACTATAGACTAGACTATAGACTAGACTATAGACTAGACTAGACTATAGACTAGACTAGACTAGACTAGACTATAGACTAGACTAGACTAGACTATAGACTAGACTAGACTATAGACTAGCCTATAGACTAGACTATAGACTAGACTATAGACTAGACTATAGACTAGACTATAGACTAGACGATAGACTAGACTATAGACTAGACTATAGACTAGACTATAGACTAGACTATAGACTAGACTATAGACTAGACTATAGACTAGACTATAGACTAGACTATAGACTAGACTATAGACTAGGCTATAGACTAGACTATAGACTAGACTATAGACTAGACTATAGACTAGACTATAGACTAGACTATAGACTAGACTATAGACTAGACTATAGACTAGACTATAGACTAGACTATAGACTAGACTATAGACTAGACTATAGACTAGACTATAGACTAGACTATAGACTAGACTATAGACTTGACTATAGACTAGACTATAGACTTGACTATAGACCAGATTACAGACTGCACTCTTAACTAGACTATAGACTAGACGATAGATTATACTATTGGCTATATTATTAGACTTTATTCCAGACTAAGACAGGACTGCAGCTTAGATTTTAGTCCTTACACGACTTAATCTGTCAGACTACGATTTTTACTCAAGACTACGTCTTTTAGCTATTAAACATTCGAAAAATTTATAATTTTTTCAGCCATCTTAAAACTTTTTAGGGTTATTGTCGCCTGTTTTCTTTTACTATTAAATATTCTTTCTTTTGGTATTTGCAGACTATTTAAGTTTTTTCTAAACAATTTACTTTAATGTTTTTTTCACATTTTTTTATTAGTAAAATAAATATTTATTATTTCTTTGCCTTAGAAGAAAAGAGAAAAATCTCAGCAACACATGTTGGGATTTATTTTGTCCTGTTTATTTTGAGTTTTTACAATTTTTCAAATAAAACATTCAATCATTTGCTATTTAATAAAAAAAAAGAAGAAATATAACAAAAGAATGAAGACATTTCTTTGGTATAGGTTCTTTTTTTTGGTTAAATATTTGTTCCACATACATAAATTACAAGTCTTAATAAAATTGTATCTTAAGACTAGAAAATAAAAAGTTCAATGATTTAAAGAGTACTTTAACCGCTACGGGTATAAAAGAGAAATTTAAAGAAATCTTTTTAACTTCTAAACAATTTATTAGTTTTTATACAAAAATTTAAGAAATTTAAGGATTTGAACTTTTTCGAGAATATTCCAAGAGTTTGTTTTTTGTTACATAAAGCATTAAAAGAGAAGCCTACTTTAGGGAGTTTAGTTAAAAGTTATTCTTTTTTTGAGCAATGTAATTCTGACTTGTTGTCACCCTTAATGGGTTACTTACTTTACACTTACATTATTTACAAATATCCATGAACCGTGATTGAGAGTTCATTATCCTGTCAGATATATACTTACATATATTCTCAGCCACTTTCTCTCCTTTGCTGTTGTCATAGTAAAGTGTGTATTTAAGCATCATTTGCTTTAAATGCAGTTTTATTGTTAGTTTTATTTACTTTTAGACATTTCAAGTGTTACATTTCGTAAAGGATTTGTCAAAAAATCTTTAACAAAAAGTAAACGTTCTTTCACAATAAGCCTTTTCATAAGCTTTTTATTTATCGCCATTGTGTATTTGCGGTCAAAGAAAGTGTTAAAAGGGATTAAGTGCTTTAAAATACATATTGTTAAATAATAAACAATTTTGATATTAAATGAAAATTGATTTACTTTTTAAAACATTGGTAAGGCTTTATAACAATATTTATTATCTCTTAACAATGATTAAATGTATAAAAAGTTAAAGGTCATAAATAACTTTTATATTATACACCTAAAAGTATGCTACGTTTTTAGACTTTAAGTTTTAATATACACGATAAGAAAATTAACTCCTGGAATATTCTTGAAAGAAACCAAATTCCGGGAATATTAGTATAGTAGTATTTAAAAAATTTTGACGTTTTTCTTTCAATGATGGAACATTTAACAGTTAGGAAACGAATTCCGGGAATATTCTCGAAAGAAAAACAAATATATATTACAATACATTACAAACAATATGGAAACGAATTCCTAGAAAATTCGTGAATAATCTGAAAAGCCATTGAATAAACATTTGAAAAACGAGTTTCTGGAATATTCTCGAAAGAAGTAATAATCTATAAATTTTAATCGAAATGGTTGTTTTGTGTTGAAATTAATCAATATGTATCCTAAATCCTGGAATATTCTTGAATAAACTGAAAAAAAAACTTGAATAAATAATAAACAAACTTCCTGAAATATTCTCGTAAGGAATAATAGTCCATAAATTTAAATTTTTTATTTTAATGACTATTTTTTTGTTGGAATAAAGCAATACTAAACTAATTCTAGGAATATTCTTGAAAAATCTTTGGAACAAAAGATTTCAGATTTATGAAATCATTTTGAATAAAGAAAAAGAAAGCGAATTCTTTGAATATTCTCGAGAGAATTAATAATCAATAAATGTAGAGCTTTTTCTTTCAATAGGTTTCTATTCATTGAATTATGCTTAAATATAAACAGTAAAATGAGAAATTCCTGGAATATTCTCGAAAGAAATAAAAAATCTACCAATTTAGTTTCCTTTTTCCTATCAATAGTTTCTATGTATTGGTATTGTGTAGAACAAACCATACAAAAAATAATTCGTGGAATATTCTTGAATAACATGAAAGAACCTTGGGGAAAACAACAA